GGAATAGCAGTCGGCCTGACGCAATGGCGAGTCAGCCAGGAAGGTCAAGCTTCTTTATCAAGGACATCCAACCAAGGGAAAATCCCCTGTTGCATGCCTGCCTGACTTGAAGCTTGTAGTCTTCTGCGACGTCGGCCATGCCTTGAGCATAGGCCTTTTCATCGGCCTCTTTGACTTCGGCCTCTTTGGTGGCCAGAGCCTGCTGGAGTTCTTTCTCCGCTTGAGCCTTCCTAGCCTCAGCCTCTTTTTCTCGGCTTCAGCTACTTTTTTAACGGCTTCAGCAGCCTCGGCCTTCTCAAGAGCTAAAGTTTGGACTTTCGTTGCAGCCTCGGCCTGATCCTCCAGTTTTTTCATTTTTGCTTCAAGGGCCCTTATCTCTCTCTTCATTGAAGATGCTTCCCTCTTCATATCAACCAATCTTTGACGATTTTCAAAGGATTGCATTGAAAATGAATGGGCATGTTGGATAGCCTGAATGAAAACAGAAGTGTCAGAAGATTTTCTCAGAAAAAAAACAGAAAAGAAAATCACAAGTACCAACAGAAATACTTATTTGAGCAGAGTGTTGGAGCATAAGAGCGTAATTTTCATACTCACTAAGCTTGCTATTTCGCTCCAAGTCATTTGGTAGAAGGAGAGCAGTGCTAAGGACGACAGCAACATTAATGTCGTCAGCACTTTCACTAGCCATAATAGGCCTATCCTCCAGGGATAGATCAGGGGCCCAGGGAACGTCGGGCTTCTTCGAAGCCAAGGTCGTCGCAGACGATGATCTCGGCCTCTTTGTTTGTGTAGACCCTGAGGGTTGGCCCTCAGCAGACCTCTTGGTTGAAGTAGAGGTTGATTTTTTGCTTTCAGCTAGCTTCGAAATCGGCAAAGCATCCTCAGCCTCGGCATCTGTAGCCTTGGCTTTAGGCTGAGCCTTTTTAACTCTCTTTGGTTTGGGTGGGAGCATTGATTGCGTTGGTACGGCTTCGGTGTCAGTCGGGAGATCGGCAAGAAGGTCTTGGACAACAGGCCTTGGACGAACCATTTCGGCAGTCTTTACAAGCTTTCTTCGACGTTTGCGTTCAGAAATTGGTATTAAATAGGGGGCCGAAGTTGATGGAAGATCGGCTGGGTCAGACGTGGACTCTTGATCTGTTCGGGATGTAGAAGCAGTTAAGGTTGTGGCTGTGGGTGGAGAAAGACTCTTCTTTCTTTTTCTTGGGACGTCGGGTAAGGTGGATTTGTAAGTAGGGATGAAGTTTAGTAATACTGGGGCTTTTCGTTTATGGATTGGAAGGCCAAGAAGTGTTTTCAGATCTGTTACTGGGAAGAAGGATTGACGAAAATTTTTCGGTGGCTGATGAAGATCTGCAAAGAAACAGACGTCAGAAACAAGAAGTATGAAAGTCTTAAGTAAAAACAACTAAGTGTTGACTCAGGGCTCTTACTCTTGCCCTCTGTGATTGTTCGAGGAAGAGGGTAGAGGTGGACATCTTCATCTGGGCCAAATTCCCAATTTCCAGAAGCAATGAGAAAATCATCTCCAGCCCCCTGGTTGGAGTCTGGGAGGTCGGCTATAATTTTGTACTGAGTGGATCTCGGCTTAAGGTAATAGACAAAACCCCTATCCTTCAGATCAAGAGGGCACATGGTATAACAATATTGAAGGTCGGCTAGGGTGATTCTAAGGTTTTCTTGCCTAGCTAAGGCAATGATACCGTTAATTACCCTATAGGAATTGATAGTAAGTTGCATAGGGTTCAACTTATAAAAATGGAGAACTTGACGAAAAAGGGGATCAAGTGGAAGCCGAAGTCCACATTCGGTAAAAGCAACTATTGGAAAAGGCATTGTGTGGTCTGTGGGAACGATGGTATCATTATCCCCAGCCAGCTTAAGATGAACGTCGGCTGGGATAGAGAATTCTTGCCTAAAGTATTCAAGTTTTGTCGGGGTATTTACCCTATGCCTCCATATACCCATTATGTTGGCTTAAACTAAGAAGAATATGTTTCAGAAAATGGGCGTTTTTCAGGTTTCCCTAAAAGATTAAGGGTTCTACAGACAAATCCCAAATCTATGAACTATGAAGGTAAAGATCGAGGGCACAGATCTGAGGCAGATACAAAAAAGAGAAAACAAAGACGAAGTTTCAGATTCAAGAACAGAAGTATAGTTCTCAGAAACAATAGAGATACAGAAAAAATCAAGAACAGCGGCAAAGAGAATGATGAAAAAGCATAGAAGTTCAAGGTAAAGCCACAAACTCAAGATACAAATAAATCCAAGACCTCGAACAAGATCAGTAATGGCAACAGACAGACAAAAGCACATAAAGAGAATGAAAGAATTAAAGGAAAGGGCCTTACCAGGACAAATGAAGCCGAGGCAATACTCGTCGAACCCAGAAACCGGTTGCAACAGCAAAGAAGGCTTTGCAAGAATAAGGGATTAGGTGGAGTTTGCCGGCGGGAGCAAGGGCGGGAAATGGCAAACCTGCCCTATTCAAATCCCTAAAAAAGACAAAAGGAAAGAAAACAAGGGAAAATATTTTTTGAAGTTTGATATAATAGAAAATGAGAATTGACACAAAATATTTTTTGAGTATTGCTGTTTGTGTTAAAAAATTAGACTTACTTTCTAAATTCAGTGATGTATCAGAAAGATAATTGGTAACTAATTATCTTCTTAATGCATTACTAAGTTTAAAAATTAAACTTATATATTATTTTTTATATTTTTAATGGCCAATGAAAAATAAAGACAAAATATATTTTCTATTTTTAAAAGACCAAAAATACTTTTCGATCTAAAATTTTATCAATGGCACCACATTCATTCTCCAAATTCTTCATCCAAAGCCCCGAAATCGTGGATCAAGTCGTCAATCTGAAGCCTACTGAAAGTAAACTGTGGGGATATATTTTCTGAATACCAACACGTGGCACGGTGACGCCGACGTGTCAGCCGAGGTGCCACGTGCCCTGGTAGTTAAGCCGAGGTAATCTCGGAGAAGCCGAGGTCATCTCCGAAGATATCGGAATCCGAGATATGGGGCAAGAGTCCTAAGGCACAAAGAGGATTGAACCAAGATAAGGATAAAACTCTCAAGGAGTTTATCTTTATCACTTAAAAGAGTCCAGAGTAAACAGTAAATTAGAATTCATAGAAGTCATATTTCTAGTGGGACTTGGATTGAGTATATTATAAAAGAGAGGCACCCCCATGGGTCTAAGGTATGTAACTTATACTTTGAGTATTCAATTTAGTACTTGATTATCTTTGAGAGATATACTGACTTGATCGTCGGAGTGCCCCCGGGTGGAAGAACCACCGCCGGAGCTTTTTCTTTCTGTTTCAGGTTACTTAAGCCATCTATTCTGCTTGTGCTCTCCAGCTGATCACTGAACGGGCAGTGTGGTTAGATTTTCACCCACACAACTGTTATATTAAATATTTGTTATTAATATGGTAAAGTATTACTTACAATGATTTTACACTACAGGAAATGTGTCGTATAATGACATTTTTTTAACGGCGTTTTTTTAAACGCCACATTTTTTAATATTTAACGGCGTTTTATAAACGTCGCAATTTAATTTAATGAAACGGTACCGTTTAACCTGTTTAAAAACGCCTTTGTATGTATCTCACATTTTAATTTAATAAAACGGTACCGTTTAACCCGTTTGAAAACGCCTTCGAATGTATCCCACTTTCACGCGCTCTCTCTCTCCCTCTTCAAACCCTCATTCTAATCTGAGAAACCCTTCTTCTCACTTTCACTCACTCAAATCTGAGAAACACCAGTGTATGAATCTTGCTCACCCGCTCTCTCTAAACCCTTAAAGTGATTTCGATATCGAAGTTCGGTGATCCAATCTCAGAGTGATTTCGATTTCGTAGAGCAAAATAGATTTCGTAGAGCAGAATCGATTTCAATATCGATTTGGAAGATACGATTCAACCTTCTTCAGCTCGGTGATTTCGATTTCGAAGTTCTCTCTCTCTCTCTCTCTCTCTCTCTCTCTCGATTTCGAAGCTCCACCACCACCACCACCACCACCACCATCTGCATCGTCTACTAAGGTAAGAACTACTATCTACAATCTCGATTTCGATGTCGAAGTTCTCTCTCTTTCTCTCAAAATCTTCATTCCGCTGATTCTTCTCCTAGGGTTTACAGTCTTGAATCTCCTCCTAGGGTTGGATGTGAGGTTAGATTGTGTGTCATATCATCATTTCTATTGCAACTTTACTTTTTGTTGTGCTTAAATATCTCAATTGTTTAAATGTTGTTTTGATTACATTTCAGTCCCTTTGTTTGCGATTTGATATGTTAGCAGTGGCTTAATGCATTTCAGAGGCGCAAGTTAATAAAGTTTAAGGCTGATTTGCATCTGTTATTTGTCAAACAAATGGAACCTCCTCTTATCTAGAGATATGGAATTTTCAAACTTTTTAAACAATAAATAATTTTCGAATCTCGTCTTTTGTATTGATAATTTTTAAACTTTTAGATATTACAGTTGCCTGTCTCTGCTCTTCTTTCCTTTTCTTTCCAGATTCTCTTTTCCTTCCTGTGTCTTTCTATAATTTTTTTTTGACTTTAACAATGAAGCAAAATTTGAAATGGCAAGTCTTCTAAAAAAGTTGGACCAATTTGATTTCGTCAGGGTATGCCGAAATAAGTATTTAGTATCTGTGACCCATAAAAAATTTTGTTATGTATATCAGAAAGTAGCTCTCGTCTTATTATTCTCTAAATGAATATGAATTTGATTTTTTCAAAATGTGGTAAGAAAACATGTTGTCAAACTGAAGATTTATGCTATTTTCTCACTATGTCTGCCTTGAATTTATTCACTATGTCTGCTCGATTTGTTCCTTTATGTTTGTTTGTTTATTTATTTGTTTGGTTAATGGAAGAGTATCATTATGTACTCCCATTTAGAATCATCGATTTTTTATACCATTTCCAGAAGGTTCTTGAATATTTGGTTCCAAGGCACATCACTTATCCCTATGATGATTTGGTCCATAATGACTTCTAATCAGCTGTCTAATCACAAGCCTTACCCAATGTGTATTGTGGTTTGTCCCACAATAAACTCTCTTACAAGCTGGTCATGTATCTGTCATCTTGGCACCATATCTCTCAATTTTGTCCGTGGATTATCAAGGGAAACAGGCTTTTATGGTGGCATGTAGCATTTTGAAAGCAACAATATGTATAACATGTCTCTTCGCAAATTGAATGTTTGTTTTACCTTTAGAATTCACTTTGTTGTCTATAATAATTTCTTGGCCTTCTTGCACTTTTGTGCAATTTTTACTGGTGGTATTGCAGCTACGTTCCCAATCCTGTCTTGGTCATAATTGATGTCGAGCCTAAGGAGATGGGAATTCCAACTAAAGCTTACTATGCTGTTGAAGAGGTTAAAGAGGTAAAATAACCATCTAGTTTTTCATTTCAATCATAATTTTTAATCATTCAGTGATTTACGTGGTAATTACTAATGCATGACTGACTTAACTGAGATGCTTTAATGGTTAAAGCTTGTCATTCCCAGCAGAATGTCTCCAAATCTGCTTGGAAGTTTATCTGACAGTTGGATATGTTTGCAGAATGCTACTCAGAAAAGCCAGAAGGTATTTGTGCATGTGCCTTCAGAAATTGCCGCTCATGATGTTCAGAAATTGCTGTTCTGTTGTTTGATTCTCCTCTTGAGCTCCGTTCTGTTCCTCACTGTCACCGTGAGATCGCCGATCTTCAAGGTATGTTTCGTTTCTCTACTTTCTTTTTGATCTATACAAATTGCATATATATATATATATATGTGTGTGTGTGTGTGTATGTATGTATATGATTGTATTTATGAAATTTAATTTGATTGTTGATTGTTTGTTATTTGAGCTTCAAATCTGTGATTTTGTTTTTGGTAATATCATATCTGCTTTGTCTCTCTTTAGTCCATTGTTTTTCCTTTTTTTGGAATCCCATTTTGGCATTTCTTACTTTCTAACTCTCCTAATAATGATTTCGGTGTAGTTCCCATGTAAATTGATAAACTTTCATCTTGGTATGTTCTCTGAGTTTCCTTTTTTTTCAAGCTGCTACACATGGGTGGTCCTGTTATTGACTACTTGTGCAGATAGCCAAGAAAGAAAGGCATTTTCTTCATTCATATCTTTAACTATTTTCTCCCTCTGGATATTGATAATATAATAAATTTGTTTGGGTTTGTTGCAATTATATGCTAATTGAATATGAATTGTTGAACTTGTTGGGTATGTTTTTTTTTCCCCTCGCTATTTCAAAGGGGAAAAAGAAGGGAGGAAAAATAGTATGTTTTAAGTTGTAGATTTATATGCATTAAGATGTTGGGTAATTGTCTAATTGATGATGTTCCTATTGATTGGGTAAACAAGTACAATAAGTTTGAAGCCTAAACAGTGAATGAATGTTCACGCTCTTACTTGCAAGTCTTGGCTAAATTAACATTACTATAAAAAAAAATTAAAGAGTTCTTTATAATTCTTAATGTGATGCCAATACAAAAAATGGATTGTGTAGTAGCATTACTACTATTTATTGGGTTCAAAAGAAATCATTTTTGTATTAAATGTATCATAAATAAATCAAAACCATATTGGTTAGAGAGCACCATGGCATAATGAGCAGGTGAGGTTAAGGTAGTGCTGCAAATTATGATTTGCTATTCTGGCTTGGTAAGTATTGAAAGGAAAAAATAAATATATAATTAATCAATCAAATTTTAGTTAAGTTAGATTACTTTTCATAGTTATTTACCATTTTCAAATTAGTCTGTAATGTAGGTTCCTGTACTTGTACAAAAGTTTATTTGATTGGTTCTCACACTAGACTTGATGTGATTTTCTGCTTTGATTCCAAAACTGCAGGAGAGCCATTTGGCCCTCATTTCTGCTATCTTCTTTAAAACCTTGATCAAACTAAGAGACCCCTTTATTGGGTATGCACGTTATAATAGTTAATCAATTAAATTAGATTCCTAGAGTAGACTTCATTTTTGTATGAATTTTTGTTACCAAATGTTGAGGTAGTTTTTTTATTTTATTTTTATTTATTTAAAATGTCTGCACACCAATGTGTGGCTGGAAGTGATTCAATGGTATCATTATCATTTACTTGTGCATTTTGATATAGGGTATGGTATACAATATAGCAGTCTTGGCAGATTGCTAAGAAAATCCATTGTTTTAAGGCAATTTTATAGATTTAGAACAACAGCAAAGTTAGATATAGTTTGATTTATGTTTATTCGTTCCTTGTATATCATTTTTCCAGGCTGTTCCAAGAAAGCGTTTCCATAATGTTGTTGTAAAGAATGGTCTAGGTCTAACTGTCGCTTGTATGGCAATGAGTTCAGCTACTGGTTGTCCTGCAGATGAGACTAATCTGACTGGTGTGGGTGAGATCAGACTAATACCTGATTTATCAACGAAGTGTATAATTCCTTGGTAGTACATCTCTTTCATAAGTATTACCTTTGTCTCTCCATTGCAACATAATTTTTGTTAAACATTCACGATCTTTTTTTTATTTTATTTTTAATCTAATGTTTTGGAGTTTCTTATTCAATGTACTCTGAAACTCTGCTACAATTTCATTTACTAATAGCATAAATGCCTTGATCTATGAAAATAGTCATAATTTGGCAATCAGGATAACCTGTTTTATTCTCCTCTTCCTGAAGCTCATGTTGTCATCTTTACTTCTCTTAAAATTTTCTACTGCATCATTTATTATTTTCCTTCATGTTAAATACAATTGCATCAGCAATGATATGTGCATAAAAGTTTACGCACACAGTATCCACCAATGTCTCACAAAATGTACAAATCGCTGCATTTTGTGCACACAAACTTTCTGTGCGTGTAATGTTTTGCATTTTTATACATGTCAAATGATGAAGTTTCATTTTGTCATGAGAACAATGGTGTTGGTGTTCTTGTTGCAACGACAGATATTCACAAGGCTAATTCTATTCTCTCAGGTTGGAGGACACGAAAACTATGGAATCAAAGACGAATTCCATTGACAGGGCTGTTGCTAACCTCATGTTCAGTAAGGTGGATTCGGGTGGAATAGATCTCCTCGCTGCAGTGTCATCCAAAGAGGAAGCTAAGGGAACAACCAAGCAGTGCAACTACAGCTTGAATCAGCCACAACAACCTCATTGGCATCACCACACAAGAAGTTCAACCGATGATGCGGAAGTTCCAATCTTCGGTTAAATGAAGCCACACTTGCTGCTGCAGCAAATAGATCCATGCAAATTTCTCAAGCACTGTATTGTAAGCGCTATGTAGTCGGTACATGCTGTCTCACCTCAACAGAGATGCACATTTCAGATTTCATGGAGTACGTGGACCTCTTTAAATGTGTATGTATATATATATATATATCAAAGTGGTTTGTATTTGTTAACAGGATGTGAATTCTTGATGCATCCACTCAATTTTGGTTAGCACCTAAATGAGATATATGTTTCTGTTAAATTGATTATTTTTTTTTACTTGTTTGTCTTGTTTGGTTGGTTTTTGGACTTAAATATGTATATATATGAAGTTGGTTTGTACTGATATTAGTATATGAAATTTAATCTAATGTTTTCCATTCTAATCTAACGTGTCAATCTATTGTATTGATATTAACCTTTCTAATTTGGTCCTGGCTGTGACATTTTGCAGGAGGACAAATTGGCAAAGTTTGCCTCGTTCAAAAAGAAAATTTTGTTTATGAACTGGGCCAAGCTTTTGCTACTATCGGTATTGTGTCATTAGGAGTATAGATGTCTTCTTCGCTTTCTGCTTGAGTTTTCAAGCCTGACTTTGTAAATAAATCCTCACGGATTTCTAATATATTTTGTCCAGATATATTCTGTAATTGTACATGTATCACATCTTATTGCATTGTTTTTTATTTTTAATTTTGTTTTCAAACTTAGTTTATTTATTATTTTAATAAACATCAATTATTAGTTCTTAATAATTGTTTATGACAGGTATTTTTTTCAACCATATAAAATTAGCACAACTTCAAAAATAAAAAAAAAATAAAATAAAGGCTATGGCGGCGTTTTTTGAATGTCACTATATCCCTATCCCAACGGTTAGATTTTTAAAATGTACAAATGTCTTTGACGGCGTTTTCAACACGTCGCTAAATGTCATAGTGACGTCACGACACAGTTAGGGTAGGACATTTGGCGGCGTTTGACGTTTTCCAAACGTCATAAAGCTATAGCGACGGCCGCGTCTTCGGCGTTTGGTACTAAACGTCACAAAAAGAATTAACGACGTTTTCAGTACCTTTAGCGGCGTTTTTAAAACGCCGCTAAAAGTTGATTTTCCAGCAGTGTTAGGAGCCATAAAAAATTACTCATAATCAGTGCAAATTTAAAAGAGAAAATTGGTAAAAAAATTCATTTCAAATGAGGTCTAAGAATTAGATCTAAGGTAAAATCTTATTTAGTGATAAAGACAAGGTGGAATATTTGTCAAAAAATTGGTCGGAAAAGTTGCTGGAGGCCAGCAATGACAGCTAACAGCAGTTGGTAGTGGTGATAGTGAGGTAGAGAAATGTATGATATTCAACAAATAAGATGTTGAATGAGTACCATATGTCACATGTCAACAGATAATTAGTTTGGTGATTTAACGGATACAAAGCTAAGTTGATTCAATAAATAAGTTGATTTCGAGAGATAGATAGGTAGACTTCAACAAGTAGTTGTCCTTTTGGACAAATTGTATCATTTTAATCCAAAGAGATTAGAGCTTGGACATAGTGGTTCAAAAGATTCAAAAATTGACTCATGGCCTAAGTGTTCAATTTAAAATCAGCATGTTGGAGTTTTGTTAACATGTGTTTTTAGAGCATAATGCTTAAAATAATTATATATTTTTTAGAGTAATATTAGAGATTCACATTTGAGATCCATAGATACATCTCTAATGATGTGGCAAAGAAAACGAATCTCACATAATTGACTATATAACAAATAAAAAATTAACACTTACTATTACAAATCATTATGGATAAAATTATGAAAAGTTTATTAAGAATCTCATATATTTTTTATTTTTGTTACAATCATATTCATACAATATATAATATTTTTAAATTTCTTGTAACTTATGACCACACAAGAACAAAATATTACTCATCTTAACATCCATGTCCTGTCTTTCCACGAAGGCGCCATGTAATAAAGCAGCCGACTTTCTAGCTGCTTGGTTGTGCAAGAGACCGACCTTGTACATTGTAAGAGGCCGACTAATTGCTTCAAGTCAAATGATGCTATCGTTTAGAGATCGACTAGCAATCCGTGTTATAATGATGTCAAACATTTTTATTTAATATAATTAACTGAAAAAATAAAATCCTAACTTTCTACCCACACTACAAGAAATTAGTTCTTTAGTGACTAATATTTAGGGACTAATTAAATTTGGTCATATAGACACTCCATTTTTGACCGATTTCAAGACTTTGATGTCACTGTTTGTGCACTCGACGATTGCGCATATTTGTGCTTGTTATGAGTTTCTGGAGCTTTCGGCTAAGCGCCTTGTCTCGAGGCCTCTTAGCCCTCTTCTTTTTGGTTTGTTTTTGGACCATGCCTTGTTACCCTTTGCCTGGAGGGAAAAGGAGGCTTGTCGGCCACTTTTTGTAGCTGTAGCCTACTTTTCCCTCTTGTAGGCCACTTTTCTTGTTTTTCAGCCTTGTTGGCCACTTTTGGAACCTTGTCGGCCACTTTTCTCCCTTGTAGACCACTTGAAGTGGCCGGTAGGCTAGTGGAAGTGGTCGGTCGGCCACTTGAAGTGGCCAACGACCATTTTTTTGTTTTTACATATATTTTTGGTGCCAGCTGTGCCAGCTGTTGGGCACAGAATGAATCCTCCGTACACATGTATAGAGGGATTGTAACCAGCTTCTAGCTTGTCAAACAAGCTTGAGGCTTGTAATTCTATATAAGGGGAGGTGCCTCCCCCTTCTCAAGGGTTCAGAAAATTTCAAAGGCAAATATCTCTCTCTCTCTAGATCTCTCTCTCTCTCTCTCTCTCTATATATATATATATATATATTATGCTCTATAGTTCTTGAAAGTGAGTGTTCTTGGCATATTTGCACACAACCCTCTTAGCCTAACATATTGACCTTGGAACTGAGATTCCATAAGGCTTGTTTGGGCCTCCTACAGCTGGTTTTTGGCTCAAAAGTGCTGCTGTGGTTGTTGTGCTTCAACGGTAAGCCATCTCCTCTTTAAAGCTTTCCTTTCATTGTTTATTTGGCCATCCTTGCATGCTCTTTTAGGCCTTACTTGCAACTACAAAAAACCTTTGTTTTTAAGTGCTTAAAATGGTTGTTTGAGGCCTCTTTGGTGTTGAGGGTGTTCCAGCCTCTTGTGTGCCTTATTTGCTTAAGCTTGGTGCCATCTTTTAAAGCTTTAGAGGCACCCTTTGTTTGGCCTTTCTACCACTGAAACTAAGAGGAATTTCAGTGGTAGAAACCATGTTTTAAGGTCTAAAGTACGAGGGGGTGGCCTCCCCTCCTTGTTTCTTGGTTCTATGTCTTGTTGGCCTCATACTTGTGCATATTTTTCTAGCATGTGTTGGCTTGATCTCAGCCTATTTTTGGTCTTATTTTAGTATGTTGTAGCTCTATTTTGGCTTGGTTGAGTCACCTTATGCATGCTTTATACACTTGTAGTGCAATCCTACTCATAAGCCTAACATGCTTCATGATTTGGCATATTATTCTACCATGTATTGGCTTCATTCCAGCATGTTTTTGGCCATTATTTAACATGCTTTAACACTGATTTTGGTTGGTGGGGTCACCTCTTGCTTGGTTTTCGCACTTGTAGTGCAATCATGTTCACTAGCTTTACATACTTGGTGTTTTGGCCTTTTATTCTAGCATGTGTTAGTTATACTCCATGCATGTTTTGGCATTATTTTGACATGCTTTAGGACTGTTTTGAGTATTCTTGGCCTTTTGGAGCTTGCTTTGTATAGCTATGGCCATAGTGTAATAGCCTTTACTAGCCTTGTGTTTTAAGGCCCCTAGCATGCTTTGCTTGTGATGTTTGCATGATATAGCATCCTTTAGCATGTAATTTCAGAGCATATACCTCTATCACACTCTCACACATATCACTCTTTAAGTGTGTTTAAGAGTTGAGCTTTATGCCTTGTTTGTGGCCTAACGTTAAGTGTGTTTAAGAGTTGAGCTTTATGCCTTGTTTGTGGCCTAACGTGTATGCATGTTTGTTTAGTTCTTTGAGCTTCAATTTCAGCATGTCTTGGCCTCTTTTTTGGCATGATTGAGCTTTGTCCAGAGCTGGTTTGGCTGTTTAGACCATGTATTGCATGCCTCTTGTGTAAAGCCCTTGACTAGCTTTGAGTCCTAAGGACCCTAACATGCTATACTTCTGTTGTTTGCATGATACGTCATCATTTGGCATGTGATTTCAGTGCTCATATCTTTTCCATACTCTCGTATATATCACGCTTTCAAT